GGAGGGACGGGAGGCGGCCAAGCCGCCTCCCGTCCCTCCCCTTCGCCCTCGGCGGGTTCCTGGCCCGCCCTTTCCCCTTCGGGCGGCCGCCAAGCCTGAGGTAAATCCCGCTGCTCCTCCCGCCTCTCTTCTCCCTCAGGGCGTTCCCCCACTTCCCTGAGGCGGCGCCATTTTGTCCCTCCCTCAGCGCGGGCGCCTCAAAGCGCCTCAGGAGCCTCCGCCCGAGGGCCTAGGGGAGGGTCTGGAGGCGCCTCCCGGCCCTCCCCTTCCCCCTGGGCGTTTATCCCGGCCCTCCCCTCCTCCCTCCTGGGTCGCTTCCCAGCCCTCCTCTTCGGAGGAGGAGTAGGAGGCGGGTGGGAAAATGGCGGCGGCCGCGGGTCCGGCGCAGCCCTGGAGCGCGGAGGAGCTGCGGAGCGAGGCGCTGGCCAAGAAGGAGATCATCAAATTCCTGCAGGAGCACGCGGCGCAGGCGGTGAGTTCGTGGGGAAATCTAAATAGTTTGGAGCGCGCGTGCAGTGCGTTTTTGGAGTGGGCGTTTCACGGCTCGCACTCGTGTGTCTGGCAGTTCCTGGCGGAGCACAAGCTGCTGGGGCAGGTGAAGAACGTGGCGAAGACGGCGAATAAGGAGCAGCTCATCGCGGCTTACACGCAGCTTTTCCACACGCAGGTGAGGGGACGAGGAGGGGGGAACGGAGCTGGGGGGGGTGGTCCTGTGGGGGTTGATGGTTGATGGATTTGGCTCTTCATCCTCCCCCCTCAGCGGTTCAAGGGCACGGACGGCGCGGAGAAGGCGGCGGAGAAGGCGAAGCCGGCCAAGGCGGAGGAGGCCAAGGGGAAGGCGGTGAAGGCTGAGGAGGCTGTGGAGGAGGTTTGTGCGACACTCCCACCTCGTGTTTGTCGTGTGGGAAAACCAAATTAACCAGGTCCCCTGTCTCAGGATGAGGGTTAGGTTGGGTATCAGGGAAAGGTTCTTCCCCCAGAGGGTGGTGGGGCACTGAACAGGCTCCCCAGGGCAGTGGGCACGGCCCCAAGGCTGCCAGAGCTCAAGGAGCATTTGGATGATCCTCTCAGGCACATGGTTTGACTCTTGGGGTGTCCAGGGATTGGACTGGATGATCCTTGTGGATCCCTTCCAACCCAGGATTCTCCAAAGACCTGGTTACAGCAAGAACTCTGGTGTTTGCACCCTGCCTTAACCTTAATGTGCTGCATTTTCCCCATACATTCCAGCCCTGCAGTTACCCACGAACACGCCCTTCACTAACAGTGCATGTCTTCTTCAATCCCTTAAACTAAGTGCTTGTTCCATCTCAAACATGGTTGATCTGAAGCTATTTAACCCACCAGTCACAACGCTTATTTTTACAACCTCAGGGGCCACCAAAGTATACAAAATCCATTTTAAAGAAGGGCGATAAAACCAACTTCCCGAAGAAAGGAGACACTGTGCACTGCTGGTACACGGGAAAGCTGCAGGACGGGACAGTCTTCGATACCAATATTCAATCAAGTAAGGTCATACACAGATGGGTGCACAGAGAAACCGTTTGGGGTTTGCTGCAGGCACTCGTAGGGTGCATTAACTGGGCTCCTTGAGCAGATCTGGGCAGGTGTTTGCCTCTGGAAGTGTCCCTGTGGGATTCCTGACAAACTGCTTTGTTGTTGAGCTGCCGGGATGTCCCTGAGCCCCCTCCCGGATCCTGATTTTCCATGAGGTAAGGCAGGGCAGTATTTTAGGAGTGGCTAGTGTCAAGTGACACTGCTGCATCCTGCCAGCCCTCCCTTCTGGCATTCTCCAGGCCTGGGAATGTGAAAAGCAGGGAGTTAATCAGGGCTGAAAATACTTGAGGGGAGAGATGGAGCTCCCCTCTCCTATGGAACTCGAGCACCAGCAGTGTCCTGAGTTTCTCTAAATAAACATGTCAGTGTCCTTCTCTAGTAAATCCTTAAACGTGGAGGCACTGGAATGAGAGGGATTTGAGTACTCTGGTGTTTTTGTGACACATCAGAGGGGTTAGGAGTATGAAATCCTGCAGTACTAGAAAGGCTTTTCCAAAGTGTGTCCCACGCTCAGAGGAACAGTATTCCAGAGTCACTGGAATGCTGTCTGGGACTTCTTGTACTTGTTTTATGTTCCCTTTTGACTTCTGGTTCCTTAATGTGTTTGTGACTTGTACTGTCACCTTTATTAATTCAGAAATGAGTCTTTGGGGTTTGAAAGATGCTCATCAGCTTTAGCTCTTGGTGCAGCTCGAACAGTGAACGATGGCTTTGGTGCACAGCACTGAATATTAAAATAATATTATAATGTTATAATAACATAAACACTAAAAAAATAATATAATAAAATGATAAGAATGTATATTTATTTCTCATATGTATTTATAATTGTAGACAGCAGTGTGGTGTGTGCTGGAGTGATGTTAAAGCAAAGCAACACAAAACTCTCTTCCAGGCTCAAAGAAGAAAAAAGCAGCCAAGCCCTTGAGTTTCAAGGTTGGCGTAGGAAAAGTGATCCGAGGTGTAAGTACAGCATTGACAGCTCCCTCAGAATTCCAAAGGAGTTTCCTTCCCTGTGATTTATGACTGGGGTGCAGTTTTTGAGCTGCTGTTCTGTTCCTCGTGGAGGTAAAAATGCAACTTGCAAGGGTTTACACGGGCAGGATGTCCCATTATCCTGTGTCATTCCCCTGGGTAGCAGCGTGTGGAAAACACTCTGTGTTCCCTGGGACAAGCCCAGCCTCCTGCTCCTGTCAGTCTGCTCTGAGGCTGCCGGGATTCCTCTCCTCCTGTCCCTGTTCCCTGGGAGCAGAGCCCGACCCCCCCGGCTCCCCCCTCCTGTCAGGGGGTTGCAGAGCCAGAAGGTCCCCCCTGAGCCTCCTTTTCTCCAGGCTGAGCAGGAAAAAGCCCTTTCTGAGGGCCGGGACTGGCCCTGGGAAGGGGGCAGTGTCCCTGGGCAGTGTCCCTGGGCAGTGTCCCTGGCCCGTGTCCAGTGCTGCAGGAGCTGCAGCTGTCCAGGTTTATCCCTGTCTCCCTGAGCTGGAATCTGGCGCTGCAGGAGCCGCTCGTGGGGACACTGGGAAGGGAGTGAGTCCTGGGGAGGGACAGGCACTACTGAATCTGGGTCTGGAACAGCCTGGAACAAGCACGGATCCACTGATGCAGGGCGGCTGGGCTGCCCCATCCCTGGCACTGTGCGAGGCCAGGCTGGACCGGGCTTGGAGCAGCCTGGGCTCGTGGAGGTGTGGGATTGGTGGGAATCCCTAGGAGCACACGGAAAGGCTGGGAAGTGCAGCTGTGGTGACACCCTGCTGTGCTGTCCTTGCAGTGGGATGAAGCCCTGCTGACCATGAGCAAAGGAGAGAAGGCCCAGCTGGAAATCGAGCCCGAGTGGGCCTACGGGAAGAAGGGGCAGCCTGATGCCAAGTATCCTTGTACAGAAACCTGGGAATGCTGGGTGGGGTGAAGTGCTGGGACAGGGATGTAATGGGGGTGGTTCACTCATTACAGCAGGCTCAGAATATTCCCACTCTGAGGAAATTCAGTGCACTTGGAGGGTGGGTGGGATTGTCCTTTTGTTTGGAACTAAACCTTGTGCAGGGAGAACTTGCTGCTGTTTTCCACCTGCATTTTTAGTCCATCTGAGCTTCCAAATAAGCTTCTAAATGCTTATTACTGACAGGGATACAAACCAGTGGAGTAGGGAAGCAGGAGGAGTGACCTGTAGGGTAACAGCAGTTAAATTTGGTTCTGGTTCTGGGATACAACTGGAGTACGGGATGGAGGGGGGGATCCTGCAGTGTTTTACACATTCATGTTCTTTTCCCAGTGCTTTGGGAGGAAGAGGTTGTTCCCTGGTGCTGGAATCCTGTAATCCCAAGGGCTGCCTGGACACTGTTCTCCCCTGTAGCACAACAGGACAGACTCCCAAACCTGGAGACCAGGCTTAGGGAATGAGGAGCAGGGTGTGTTAGTGGGGGTGCATCCATGGAACTGGCCCTGCGTGTCCCTGACAGCTCGTGCTGGGCAGCAGTGCAGGATCCAGCCCAGTGCTGGATCCAGGATGTCCCAAGGCCAGTGACACCACAGGGACACAGGAGATCGGCTGTGAGTCCCTGCCCAGGGAGGGACGGGGAGCTGGAGGATTTGGGGTGTTTTAGGCTTCCTTAACGTGCCCCCCAGGATTCCCCCGAACGCAAAGCTCTTCTTTGAAGTGGAGCTGGTGGACATCGAGTGAGGAGTGAATTCCCCTTGCTGCTGGGAACCCAGGGACTGGTGTTGGGGATCCAGTTCCAGCCTGGCCCTGTGGAAAGGGAGCGCTGTCCCTGCCCCTCTGTACAGTGACACCACTAAACCAGTTTGTACCCTCGGTGCCGTCCCTTCTTTGTGTCTGAGCTCCCCCACCCTCCCCTGGCGGGGCTGCAGGGCCACAGGGGTGCTGTGGAATTCCACAGCATTCCCGCTCCTCTTCAGAGGTATCAATACCAGTGTCAGGCACTCTGCTCCCAGAGATCCAGGCGTTCCCAGGGCATCCCTGTGCCACAGCCCTTCCTCGGAACACCACGTGTTCCTACTCCCGGCTCGACCACCGAGGCAATCCAAGAAGGCTCAGAGCACGGCTGAATTCCTTGCTTTTATTACAAAAATGGGAATGATCACTTTGATCAAAATGAAAAAAGTTTTGCTCACACTGTGTACATGAAAAACTCCAAATACAAAAACCATCCCAAACACAGTTTGTGCTTTTTAGAAAAGAACCAAGGGGGTTTTGCCCCACGGGTGAATTCCTGACCCCACAGCTCTGCCAAGGCCTCCAGCCCCGCTCCAGGGTCAATCCCAGCACAGTGCCCGGCTTGGGAAAGCTGTGGTGGCAGTTGGGGTGGGAGCAGGACGGCCTTGGCTCCAGCTCTGGGGCAAAACCAACCCAAAGGGCCCCAGCTTCACCCACCCAATCTATGGAATCCTGGGACTGACGGGAATTCCTCCGAAAGCTCCATAAATTAGTGCAGGGAATTAAAAAAACGCATTTATGGTAAATGAGAATTGTACAGAGACCATTTATCGGTTACCAGCACACAACTCTTCACACGTACCCCGTGAGCAGCAGCTCGGGTCACATGCAGAGGACCCGCAGCAGGTGGCACAACAGTTCTTTCACAGCCCAAAGTTAG